CGTGACATAGCTGGTTCTCACTGGGTTGCGTGACACTCGCACGAACACGGACTGTCCTTGTACACGATTCGCTGCCACTAGCACCGCATTTTGCGGCTGAGATGAGCTGAACGAAGGCCACCGGAATCGTTTGCAGTGTAGAGGCCTATGGAGTTGAGTCGCCAAGGAGGAGCTTGCCAAGACTGCCCCCAAATGAGGATGAAGCCGGTATTTATAATGCAGAGCCAATGGAGGCGGTGTCAAGAGCGCTTAACTATCTTGCTTATTTCGTGCCGCGCACACATATGCCATTAACCTGGAGCATCAACACATACGCACAACGGGATTGGATGTGTCTGTGAGGGGTGTCTCGGGTAGCAAAGACCGCGCGAAAATCTCGTCGTCCTCTTGTTCCGTTTCCTCCTGATCCTCCAGGCTGCTCTCCTCGTTTATGCAAGTACAACCCTTATCTCAATCCCCCAACCCTCTTTACTCTCTCCCATGTCTTTCTTTCTGAAGTGAGACCTGGGCTTCATGGGCCGGTTAGATCTGCAAGTTATAGCGATGTTGGAGAAGATTATCCGACTACAGACCTGGCGTTGTCATAGAGCTTTACAGCAAGACATCCTGCCCCGCGACGTTCAACGGCAGCCAAATTCATCGTAAGGCGCTAAGCTGAGAAAAGATTAGAAGTTCAAACCATGTTCCATACGCAGCACAGTTTGGTCAGGAAAGGCAAACCGGTCAACTCCAGCTGGACTTTTTCCAGTATAGCGTTCCTTCACCCAGCTCATAGCTGGACGGGGCGATTGATGGATAACAGCAGCATCCTCAGTATGTCTAGGCCTTTCTTAGAATCTTGGCCCCTTGGTTTGTCGCGGGGTCATTCGCAAGTGTGGCGTCTCAGGTACATGAGAGGGTGAGGGGTTTTTAAGACATTGCCGCATGCAGTGGCATTCTTTCTCAGCTCTCAATGTGGTGTGTTCAGCAGCTCTCCATGAATGCCACATCCTTGGCTCCTGTTTTTACCTATTCGTACGTGTAGCTGCATGCAACCAAGAGTCTAAGTAAGACAGGCAAATCTGCGTGGCTCCCCGCCCCTGACCAGCAAAGATGCTCACTCGAGTTCGTCCAGGGAACATGCCCATCAGCCTCACTTCCGTCTTCCTCTTTCTCACAAACACATTAGGAGAAGTCTTTACATTTCAATCTACCTCGCCCGCGTGTTCCAACTCTACATGTAGCCTGCCCCCACTCCCTTTGGGCAACACCCTGCGTTCCCAGTGGCGGCTACACCTGTCTGCCTCTCGGTCACACACCCACAGCATCGTGTGCTGCCACCCCGCGGCCAGGCTTTACTTGAAATCTGCCCTCGCTCCCCCCTCATCTGCGTCACAATCGTAGACGAGAGAGAAGCCCACTTTTTTTTTGCGAAAGTTCCCGTTTGTTGTCGCTGCTCTACGTTACTGACGTCCTTTTGACACCGCCGCCCACCCTATGTCCATCATCTCCTAAGACGCCGTCAATTTAGGATTTCGATCGTCCTCCTCCGCCTCCCCCAATGGCAGGCCCTATCCGGCTTGGAGAGGTCATTAACTTCAGTAAATTCGCCTGGGAAGTCTATCGATTCGGTTGGCATGACGAATTCAACGCAAGTGAGTTTGGGCACTCGTCGAAGAAGTGCTAAATCCCCGGAACATCTCGTTTCTTCGAGTCCCCTCTCTCAATCATCAACTAACCATACTGAAGCAAGACAATATGCTGAATTTGGCCGCAACATAAGAGGGCTTGCTGAGAACCTTGACATCCTTAGTCGTGTGGTAAACAAAGCGGGCCACTCACTGCGTCAAGAAGGGGCCTTCAAGCCGTTGCGCTGGGATCGCTCGTCCCTTGAAGACATCATTGGAGACTATAAGGAAACACTTACCGAATGCTATCGACTGATCAAGGACAATAATCGCTTTCGTCTCAACAGTGGCCCGCTCAAGAACATCGAGTGGAATATGCTTGTGGCGTCTTCCGCAGATCGACTACAAGCGCGTATAGAACTACACAACTCAAAAGTCCTTCATGTGCTAAAACCATTTGAAATGTAAGTACTTCCATCTTCATGACCGGCTGTCTTCACAATACTTACTCACTACACCAGCGATCTGCTGTGCCGGGTTAGGGAGGACATACGCCTCGCATACCAAGATCTTGCCTATCGTATCAACGCTGTGCATCTTGACCTGCACCGCCTCATTGGAGTATTGGTGCCGGACCTCGAGCAAGCTCTTGCTCAGCAGACTCATCAAGAGCTAGTTCAATTTGAGATACCACCAACTGTGACTGAGGGCTTCCAGCACTCGTGGACGGCAGACAGGCCGGAGCATGGTTTGGATCCAGGTCTTCGGGAGATGGCAGATATCTTCGTTCTCCACTACGACAGGTCCACGGTAAACTTCACCGCCGGCATCTTTGTGGAGAACAGGGTCCCTAAGCTCGAGCAATATGTCAGCCTTTTGAAGTGTGTCTGGGTAATGCAGCGCATTCGCGAATCGCCTGAGCTACACCAATTGACTACAGGCTTTTCACACTGGCCTTCATACATCCAAGAGCTCGAAAATGTATGTGCCGTCACCGACGCTCTTACTAGGTGCAATTCGGAGAAGCTGACCGGTGCAGAACCTCGGCTCTCAATGCGATCGCTTCAGACAAGACCTCGTGGCACCAAGCTTGATCGGTTTGACGCCTGAAATGCTGGGCTTCTGGCCGGAGAAAGAGCCGGCGCAGCTAGTGGATGTAGTGACAAGGGTTGCGCTCATGGAGCAAGTCTTGGATATGTAAGTCCAGTCAAATGTGGCCAATAATTAGGGGTGGTGTAGGCAGTCACTTACACACGAGATGCTCAGACCAATGCAAGGATCTGACGCCAACATCCTGAGGAAGCTTCAACTCCTTCGCTGGATGGGCACAGACGGGAAACGCTTCCGTATCAGCATCTCCGGCGTGGAACAAGGAGGCACGAGTAGGAATGCGCGTCGCCAAGGTATGTTGGCAGCACCCGGGAAGAGAGGCTGAAACACGATGGCCTGTTGACACGTTGGCAGCCGAGATCATCGACTTCGACATCACGTCCGTCATCGTCAACCCGTTGTATGCCGTTCCTTCCAAGTCCGGAGCGTGGGATATGATCTTGCGGAAAGACGAGCGGGTTGCCCGGCTGGCTTTCAGGCAGCTCAAGGACGTCGTCAAATTCCAGCAAGCCGTCACTGGGTTCAAGGCTTTTAACAAATACATCCAGTAAGACAAGGTTCCTTTCCGACAGAGCCTCATGATCGTATGTTGACCAATGTTGTTGTCAGGTACAAGACTATGGTCAGCTTCGTCGTCTCCGGCAAGGGAGAACCGATTGTTGAGGACGCCTGTATACAGCTATGGATTCCAAAGCAGCTCGACGGGCAGCTCGTCACCAATAACGAGTCTTTGGTTGAGAAAACCACCTCACCAAGGTCCGGATCCATTCTATCTTCAACAACCAGCACAACATCAAGACAGAGCACCGTCCGTGGGTCCTGGGGCACCGCCAATCTCTCTAAGTCCAGCCCGGCCGAAAAGGTGTTAATAGGTGACGGGAGTGGTTTGCGAACTGGATCTGCAGCGCGGAGCCCGTCGATTCTATTACCATCGGCGATAAACAACCCGGTAGGGGCTCGGTCTCCGATGGCTATCCCACATCGGCCGGTGGGATCGGGAAGCAGGCAGACGGCGGCGTCGCCACCCAGTGGTAGTCAGCAAGCGACCATGTCGACATCGCCAGCCAGTCCTTGGTCGTCGAGCTTTTTTCCGGGATCAGGGCTATTGAGGACGGTATCTGTATCAACGATCAACACGCGCGCCGACAGGACATTCAGTATGTCGAGCAACATGTCAACAACCACGTGGCCATCTAACGACAGTTTGAATGGCCATGAAGTGCGTACGGCGACTGTCAGCATTGGCGGACAAACGACGGGGACAGTTCATCGGCGTCCGCTCAAGCCCATGCTGATGTTGTTCACGCAGAACCCACAGACGGGTGCGCTGGCGATGGTTACGATAGACATTGACGAAGACACCGAGGTCAACCCGGATCGGTGCAACTGCCGGCGGTCAGGACGGGACGGGTCATCGTGCCGGATCTCCGCCATCGAACAGAGCCGGGGCAAGGCGGAGATGTCGGTGCGACGGTTTGAAAGCCGCGATGGCGACATGGACTGGAACCTAGCCAAGCTGGCTCTCGGCCGGCGAGGGGATAGGGAGCATGCTGCAGCTGCTTGGAAAGACGTCCGGCGCATCAGCATCATGTTTCCGACTGCTGAGGACAGATCCAAATTCGGAGGGACGCCCAACATCTGTCAGTGCAATGCGAGAACGGAGGCGGGGCTAGGCCAGTGCCTCAGAAACATGCACAAAGGGTTCTTTGGACTCGTCAAGGAATCTGGTCGACAGCAGCTTAACGAGTACCATCGGGCCAGATTCGGGTCGCAACATGATGTGGTTCATGGAATGAGAGACGACTACTGATGACGGGTTAGAGGGGCTTGGTGTCCAGCGTGATGTGAGTCAATGATGGATGGCAGGGCTGCGTTGTTTGTAAGCGATCAGGGCTCCCACACACTGGCCAACCATGCGAGACATAGGTGAGCCGGAGCGTTTGCTGGCCAATGTACAACCGCCCAACCGGCCGGGTCGGGGATGGCATCTGTTTTGTTGACGGGCAGGTTTCCATGACGTCTCCGCGGCGAATCCCTCGAAAGACGGCTCTCCGTCACGAGTGGGGTTCGCCGATGACAGATAGAGATTCATTTGTGACCATGGGAGATGGTAGAGGGATGGAATGTCATACGTTAAAAAGAGGCAGCCCTGGGTGGAGGGTAGAGTGGGCAGGGGCACTCCGCACTGAAGGTAAGAAGGCTTGATAAACTAAAGGCCCAGGGGAGGAAGGCGTAAGGTTGCTTGTAGAAGGCACAGAGGCCCAAGCAAAGATAAGAAGCTGACGACCCCACCAAGACTTGAACCTGGATCTTCTCCTTAGTTAGAGAGGAGTGCTCTGCCTTCGAGATATACGGCCTACGCGGTGTTGCTGATGCTGGAAGAAGGAGAAGAGGTTGCATATAAAGGAAAGTGCGTAGTGTGACCGGCCTCTCTGGAGGCAGGCGGGCGGGCGGGGACGGGGCCCGAGAGGGCAAGGGCAGGGACGGTGCTTAATATAATCTCCACGACGATGATTTTCTATTGAAGTGTATAGTTCGATTTCGTGCGAGTATGGTGCGAAGCAAGACATAAAACACCACTGTCTCTGCGGTGAGGGAAAATGCTTGGGCGAGCATGGTCGATCGCTATATTTCGTGATAGCCGGCGCAAATGATACAGGCTGCCCCGATGCCTTGCACGACGATCAGTCTGTGATCCATGTGGGCATTATCTGACACTAAAATGTCTGACTTACGGACTATTGTACAGTTATGAGCATACATCTCTTCCTCTTGGAAACAGATTTCAGTTCTCTGGATTTACCCTACACAGGCTCAATTCGAAGGTCTTGGTACTGTGTATAGCTTGTTGATGCGTTTCAGAGGAAGGATGGCCCCTTTCTACAACCAAAAAACGAACATAATCAAGTATACTCCAAGGTTGAGAGGCCACTCGCACTGTCGTAAGCTGCATTTACTCCTAAACATTGAAAGTGACAGAACCTAGGATACCCTCGCTTTAGTAAAACCGACCCGATACATTTATTACTCGCCAAACGGCATAGTCGGGCCAGGATTGCCCTACAAGTGATAGATGCCACTCGTTCATTTAGATCTACTGCAGGCCCAGCAGATCACTCTAAGGACTGGGCATAGTTGCTACTATAATACAGCTTTCTGCCTCACTAGGGTAATCAGATGCGCTGGATTCAGCTGTATCAATTTCGACTTCGCCAGCCTCAATCTGGGATTGCCGTACATCGCCGATAGTAGCAAACTTAGTATTAGGGTCAACTTTGACAGCCCTTTTCTTCCTGGCTGTACTGTTGTTGACTTGAGCCTGGAGATGCTGGATTTGCTGCTGGGCAGTAGCCAGTTGGAAGGACTGCTCTTGGAAGCCTTTTTTGACCTTTCTAAATAGCTGGCGTTGTGTGGCAATGCTTTGATCCAGCTGGCTGAATAAGTGCAGTTGACTATCCAGCTCCCTAGCTTTTCTAGGCGTTGACCATGCAACTGCAGATACAGCAGATACCCATCCATCTGTATCCTGGATATCCTGGATACCCTGGATACGCTGGATACGCTGGATAGGTGTTGCTGGTGGATTGGATGCCTTGGGCAGCAGCAGGGAGCTCATGAGAGGCTTAGCTACAGCAACAGGCCATAGTCTAGTGTATTTCCAGCCACTTTTGATATTCTGGACTGTTAGCCCAGCCAGGCGTGCTTTCTGATAGCAGGAAATAAAGTTCCTTTTGCCTATGATAGTTGAATCATTCCACTGGCTGAGGTATCTAAGCTCCTTTCTATAGGCCGACTTGACTGGGCTGAAGACTGACTGATCAAGTAGCTGGAGGACATGGGAGGTGTGTGGCGGCAGGAATAACAGATGGACGTTATTAATATCCATTGCGGAAGGAGCAGCATGAAAGGATCTGTTAGAACAGCACTATCACATGACGGCACGGTACCCAGGAAAGGGAGAGTGCACAGACTGGATACCCAGCACTCAGGGTGTTTCAACCAGAAGGTTTATAGACGGGCCCGATGTCGATAGCCCTCTATTCTGGTCACCTCGAGCACATCGATCGTTCCCTTTCCCCGTTATAGGCGCCTGTTTGGTGTCCCTTCTATCGAAATTGGCAGGCACCCAAACCAATCTCACTCCTTCCTTGGCAAAACCGGCTGGGAGCATGTTTTTGAAAAAGAACCAATCCATAGCCTTTTGAGGCACTCGTCCTTGCGCTTTAACCCATGGGCCCTCCCCAGAAAGCCGTCGATGGCAGAACGTACCCTGTCTGCATCTGCTATCTCCCGCCTGAATCAGAAAGATTCTTCTACTTGCTTAGTTTCCTTGTGTTGTTGTGGCAAATCGTGTTGTCTTTCCGTTTGGTCATCCACTAGTCCGTCTTGGTAGGTTATCGTCTTGGAAAATAGGCATCCAAAACGGCACACTTCAGAATCCACTAATGATTATGTCTCATCTTGTAGTAACTCCAGATACGCATTTACTTCAACGGGTTCTTGTAGTGTTTCCCTGGGGGTTTGTTTGTTATAACCCAAGCAACTAGTGTGCCACCTGCTCAGGCATCCACTGTTTGCTTAATGTCGCTTTGCTCTCGACCAAGGACTTGTCTCTACACGGATTGGGAACCCTGACAATCCCTATCTCTCTCCCCTGCCATATGCTTGGCGTCCGCTTGTCTGATCACTCTGTCTCTCTTGTCTCGTTGTCACCACACACCTGTGAGGCTTAGGAGAACGCCCTGTTAGCCTTCAACAATAGACCGGAACGCCGGAGTGCGTTTCACACACTACGTCGCTTGCCTGTTGCCCTATGTTATCACAATTTCCTGTCTGAACACACAATATTTACAACCCTTTTCTTAATTTCTAATAGACCCATTCACCACAATCACAGCATACATTTCGGATGCTGAACAGATGTCATGTTCGAAAACATTGCTGCGCTCTGAACAATAGATACTGCCCTGCTGCTAAAATCGTAGCAGCTGCTGTACCTTCTCGACAACCGCCCGAGTTTCATAACTGTCTGTGTTTGCTAGTTCACAAAGCAGGCTTGCACCTTGACCGGAAGTGAACCATTGCATGAGGAGCATGGGTAAAAAAGAATTGTCCCCCGGTAAAATGTTGTTTGCTAGCAGACGGCACATGGTAATTATGGCATGCGTTGGATCATTGTGGTCGCCGTTGATAAACTTTTTAACTTCGTCTGCGTTGTTTGAGTAATCGATCAGCTGGTGTGGAGGCAGATCGTCGAGCCATGCCTTTATGTCGCCCCGTGACGATTTCGTAAATTTAGTTTGGCCAGCGCCTAGAGAAGATTAGCTACCGCCAAGAATCAAGCTCTCTGGACAGAGACACATACACCAAACTTCAACCACCCTCCCGATATCTGCGCCCGGGGTGAACATCGAAATTGTTGGCTTGGATCAGTCAAGGGAACTGAAGGACTACTAGCGGGTTGACTCTCTGAATGTGAAATCTGAATGTGAAATGGAGTGCAGGGCGGGCGTTGGAGGAAGTTCTGCCCTTGCAAGGCCTAGGCAGCAACGAACGGTCCGTCTATGTCACCGCTCGTATGACTCATCAATTCAAAACTCCTCTACAAAAAGAAGACTGATTATTGGCCCGAACCCCTCAATCAAGAACAACAATCACTCTTTGATTGATGAACCCCGGGTGTGTTGCAACGAATCGACATCGATTATTTAGTCTGTGCCGCATAGTGCGACTAGACCTGCACAAACAAGTAATTATTGCAACAAACAATCAAACATACATCCGCAGCACACCAGCCAAATAGTCAAACCAGACCGCTAATTTAGTTTGTTTAATCGGACTGCTGCGCTGAGACAAACTAATGATCGCAGTGTAACGAAACGTTATTAATTAGGCTTGTCAAATTAACTTTCCAATTGGGAGTGGACCCAGAAAGATTAATTACAAGTTAGACAAACAATGTAACATATGCAAAACAATAAATAGTATGCATTCGGTGGTATTTGCAGGCTTGTCAGGATGTTTTTGAATGAAAGGCAATAGAAAAAAAAGCTAGGGCATTTAATTACATCACAGTATCCAGAATTGCACTTACAAAAGCCGGCTATCTGTATTAGTCCTCTCTAAAACAGACTTAGCTTGACACGGCTAGCTACGCTACGTTTGGTGCAATAGAATCCGTTACAGAAATCAAGCTTGAGAGGCGATGTATCTCTTCCAATATGGGACAACCTTTAAAAAACCTGACCACTTTTGATGTGTGTTAATAACTGTTCGGGAGTACAGTTCCCCGATTGCGCAACCACAGCTGCCTGTAACAGGCGCCTGTATAGCGTGTTATTAATTCTATAACATGGCTGGCTTAGGACGGGGTAGTAATGTATTCTGTGTGCCTAGGAAAGTTTTAGGAGTACCAGTTTTGTTACGGTTTTTGTTACACCCCTGGAGGAAAAACAAGTTTCCTGAACGAGACAGTGGTCAAAGCAATTTAATCCACACTTCTGATAAGTGATTATTACATTTTTGTTAAGTTAAGCTTCGTAACAAACGACAGATGACTTATGGACAGTATCTAATGTAAGAAATAATAAGCTATCGTACCATCCCATAATCCCCACAGCCAGTGCACAATCAATCGAGCTTGGACAAGTTTGCTATGTTCAAATTCCAAGACACTGTCTGCTTCGTAATGGATCTGTTAAAAGGGGCTGAGTTCATCCATAATTATCTTTTTACTTAGTTCTATACCGTACTAATCCCTTCTGATTTTCCTTTCGCGCCTGTCTGTCAACTGTGGTTGGCGGAGATCGTTAACATGGCCGACCAAAATCATCATGACAAGGCCGAAAATAGAGGGACAGATGAGGATATCAACATGCGACAGTGGAAGCCATCTAGACATAAGATGGTCATCATCATAACACTGTCCATCATGTCATTTGTCATTGCTTTGGATGCTACCGTCATCGTCACGTCCCTCCCGGTAAGACCTCATCGGCGCTGAGAAGCTGAGACATCGAAAGACTGACCAATGCTCTTTACCAGTCTGTCATCCAAGAAATTGGTGGAACGTCTACACAGGCTTTTTGGGTGGGCACTGCATACTTGATCTCATGCGCAGTTGTCATGCCGTTCCTGGCAGCACTAAGTGACATATTTGGTCGACGTTCCGTTCTAACGGGTAGCTTAATGTTCTTCACCGTGGGAACTGTTTTGTGCTGTGTTGCGGACAGCATCGCGCTTTTGCTTGGCGGTCGTGTCATACAGGGCATCGGCGCCGGCGGTATGTATGTGCTTAGTCTGGTGGTCTTCACCGACATTGTGCCCCTTCGCCACAGGCCTAAGTACTACGGCATCA